TCAAGAGCTTTTAATGAAAGGCCTGGAGGATACCCAGATGAATCTCCTTGCTGATCTGTCCCAGCCAGCAGTATTCTGGTTATGCTCTGCCAGTGCCTGAAAATCCTCTGTCTTCTCTGTGCTCTACCAGCACTGCTAAGTAAACCATATCTAAACATAGAAAACTGGCTAGCTGGGGTTTGGGAAAGCACCCAAGAACTCACATAATTTCCATTCCCTCATCACACCCACAGAACACTCACGAGCTCTCCAGTCCAGTACACCAGACACTTTACATGACAGGCTGTGAGAAATTACTGTGACTTCTCACTTTGGCTAGGTAGTAGCACAACAGCACTAGCCTTTCACCACCAGAAAGAGAGGAAATATAAAAAAAATCCACAAAAAAGAGTGACTTGGAAAGAAACACCAGAATATTCCTAAAAAGGTTCAAACATAAGCACTGGTCTGGGAAGAAGAGCTTATTTTCTAATCTCTCCTCACCAGTGTGACCACCTCGGACTCCTTGAACTCTGCATCTGTGCCTGGCAGCCCACAGGAGTAAGCCTTGTTCCTACAGAGACTTTTCAGTTCAACGCTTGGAAGAGCATCCATCAAGACCTTAAATTTCTGTAAAGCCTTTGAATTTGCATGCTCTCAGACTCTGCTTATGGCTCCCTGGGAAGGCTTGTGCATCAATGGCAGCAGCAGGACTCATCTTCTCACATGCAGGCTCCTAAATCTCTGGTTTCCCAGGCCAGGCCAGTGCAAGAAGACAATGAACAGTTGTTCTTTCCCCATCAGGACTGAATATCGAAGCTGTGAAAGCTAGAACCAAATAGTGCTAAGAGTGAAAGCATCATCCTAGGCACTTATGTGATGACTTGCCAAGTGCCCATTATTGATCCAAACTATGGGAAGACCCATTTTCTCTAGTGTTTTTTTGGAGCAGGCAGAGGGACAGCAAGGTTCATCTGACAGTGATTAAAGCTGGGAGGGAAGAGGCAGAGTATGAACACTTGCTACCAACCCTGGTGCCAGGACTGTCTGTGCCTGCTTTCAGAGGCCAGATGCTGCCAGGCAAGCAAAGATCTCCTTACGTTTGTTTTAAAGCTTGAAGAATCTCTTGAGATAAACATCCTAAATTAAAGATAAAAGTGCTTTGGGTTGCTGGCAGACTCTGTCCCTCTCCTTGGGGATAAGCTCTTGCCCAAGCCTCACACATGTCTTCCGGCCACATGCCCTGACCAAGGATTGCACCCAAGGGTTCTCCTCTCCAGGAGGCCTGAGAGGTAACAAAATCCATCTGTCCTGCTGCCTTAGCTCCCTCTGATGGCAGGTTCAGTGGGAGCAGTGCTGTGTCCCAGTTTCCATACACAGGATCTCCTGGGAGGATGTTAAATCCCATCTAGCCCTGGCTGTATTTAAAGTGATTGTAATTCACATGGATTGGACTGTGGTTATAAGCTGAATTACATTCTGATTTAGCAACAGGGATTAAGGCTCTGCATTTTAACTTATTAACTCAAACCAAGTTAGGAGAATTCCTCTTGTGGCCCTGCTAAGCTCCTGCACAAGGAAAGGCAAGGCTACATGGGGGGAGCAGTGGCAATGGGGAGGGATGGGAGGCCTGTGCCCAAGCTGGGTCATGGCTGCACAGCTCCCGTGACAGGGGGAGAGCAAAGGAAAGGAAGTGCGCGAAAGGGACTGCAGCAGTTTAGTATTCCCTATGCACAGGAAATTTCCTGTGTGTTAAATCTGGCAGAAAGGGGTACATGAGCAGTTAATTCCCCAACTAAAACCCAGGGAGGTGTCTGCTGCTTGTGATTGCTGCTCCAGCCTGGGCCAGTGATGCTCCAGCCCTAGGACCTCAGTTGTCTCCCTCCCATGGTCTCTCAGTGGAGATACCTGTGAGAGGTAGCTCTTCACTTTGGGCTGTATCAGTGGTGGGACAGCTGGAGGAGATGCTTGTTGCTCTGACTGAAATAAGAGGAGCTCTGCAGGCAGCCCAGAGCATGACAATGCCTGTCCTCACTGCTCCTGAGGAGGAAGCTCTGCAGCTCCAGACCCAGCGTTCCACTCACTTGGCTTCTCTCTCTTGCCATCAGACAGACAATTGGAAACAGCACAGGCATGCTCTAAAAAACTTCACTCCATTTAATATTTAATCAAAACCCAGTGTAACTGTCATGTCCTTTTCTGTTTCCTCTCACTAATGTTGCTGGCTGTGCAGGTATCTGTGTATAAACAAAGCCTGTCTCCTTTCCACTCAGTTGCACCTCTCCAGCTCAGGGCACAGCGTCCGATACCCATGCCCACCTTCAGAGGAACTGCCAGGGCAGCCCTACCAAAGACAGCATGAGTCCCTCCACAGTGCCCTCACCACTTTGGGTGTCTGAGGGCATCCCAACTCAGCCCAGTGAGACTGAGGGGTGGAAGGCTTTGGAAATCACAAAATAGTTTGGGTTGGAAAGGACCTTAAGATCATTCAGTTCCAATCCCCTACCATGGGCAGGGACACCTTCCACTAGAGCAGGTTGTCCCAAGCCTCATCCAACCTGGCCTTGAACACAGCTAGGAATGGGGCAGCCACAGCTTCCTTGGGCAACCTGTTCCAGTGCCTCACCACCCTGTTCCAGTGCCTCACACAACATCATGGTAGGGAATTGCAAGATTACAGCAGCAATGTGGCATTCTGCTTGCCTCTGTGCCAAGGGCCCAATGCTGCACGCCTCATTGTTTTCATCTCCAGGCCCTGCAATTACTGGCAAAGAGGGAGGGAAAGCATTGCACTTTCATTCCCCTGCCAGTGCTGAACCACTGGGTCGTAACACATCCTACTTGATCCCACAGACTGAGTTGCAGCCAGAGCTGGGTAGATGATAAAGGAAGAGAAAGTGGGATGTGTTTTTATGAAACAGTTTTTCCTCACAAAACTAAGCAGCAAACAGTGGGGGTAGAAATAAAACTTTGATGTTTGTCACAAAGTAATTTTCCTTTCAAAAAAATAACCAAACCCCCAAAACCCAGCATGAACAAAGAATGGTGGAATGGAAGTTTCCTTCCATCCCTAAATATGTTATCACAGCTGCTGCACATAGACATCTCTGAATGACTGCCCAAATCAAGGGGGGACATTTGAAGCAGGGCTTACACTGTGATTTGTAAGTTGGTACCAGACAGAGGCCCAAAAAAGCATGACTGCTCTTCTTCATATGAATGCAAAGCTGACTTACTAGCTTCTGTGGAGAACTGGGGGCTCTGCCCAGGAAAGCAGAAGGGGAATCTGTCTTCCTCTGCACTGAGGTTTTCTGTGCCTGGGACATGGCAGTACAGTGAATCCAGGGAAGGGAATATATATCCCATTGCTCATCAATGTCCCATGCACAAAAGCAGGACTGCATAAATCCTAAGGCTTGGTCAAGAAATCCTAAATCTCTTTCTTGCTTCTTGAAGTAAGTGCTTGAGAAGTAACTCTTGGCATTAGAGATGAAAGAGAAGACCTCTTATGCCACCCTCACCTTTTCCCCTAGCCCTAGGTGAATGGGATGCATGAATCCTGGTGGAGGATGCTCCTACCAGAACCCCCTGTTGCAGGACAGACAAGGGCTGTGGGAAGGCATCACTGCCATGCACTGTATAACGCTTTCAGAAGAACCAGACCTGAACCAGACCTGAAAAACATGTCTGGTGGGGAAGAGCAGAAGTGAAAGCAACACCTGGAAATGCTGTAAGGACAGGGCTACACCCTGTGTCATCCATCCTCTTTAACTCAGTGGCAGAACATTCCCATAGCAAAGCATCCATGCCACAAAACCATAACCAAACCCTAGGGGGTAGGGCTGGTGACCAACCAGAACAGGGACCCTTTCCCACGGAGTCGGATGCCACCGATGGAAAGAGGAGGCATGCTCTCAAATGTGCCAGCTGGTAAACTCTCCCGGCCATGGTCTGGCATGGCCCAACAACAGCAAATCTACTTAAAGAAGAAAAAAAATGGCTTAACTAATCTATGGTCACCCAGCTCTACTTCTTCTGCTGACACAGCAGGAGGTACTCACAAGCCGAATGGCTTTATTTATTTAAGTGTATTGATTTTAGCCTAGATTGGAAGAAAACAGGTGTATAAAGGGCAGGAAATTCCTCAGATGTGAGAACCACACAGACTACTAGAAATCAAACTAGCAGATGAAAATACATTTGCCAGAACAAGGTAATGAATCCTTCTGTCAGGAGCATGGAGATCTGGCCAAAAGCCAAACCCTGCCCACTTGAAAGCAGCAATTTCGGGTATTAAGCAGTGACTACATTCCTGTCACTGACCATCATTTAATATAGCAGCAGTGCTCCATGGCTCCCAACCAGAAGTCAAAGCCTGCTGTATAAAATGAAAGCAAAACCTGTCAGACCTTCCCCCAAGACCTTATTTAAAAATCAATGGCCTTAAAGTCAATCAGATTCAATGAGAGAGGGCTAAGCAAGAATAGAGGACAAACCACATCAGAAGTGTACTCAGCTAAACAGGCTGCTGTGCACAAGCAGTGTGTGGTAGCAGAAGACCACAAAGAGCATCAGGACATGAAGGAAAATGACAAGAGGAGGGTTTTTGGAGGATAATATTTTGTTCATGTGTCAGCTCTGATTATCTGATTAACATCTTTGTGGCTGGGACTCCGTGAGAGAGGGGTCACTGCTCTGTTGCCTGTTGTCACAGATCTTCCCTTAGCTGCTGGTGCTGTGTGACATTGTCCTGTGGAGATGAGCAGGGAAAGCAAGGCAGCTGGAGAGAGTCCTAAAATTAAATCTCAGGAGCTAGTGCAAAGTGAACACATGCAGTTGGTTAAACCAATTCCTACCTTGTGTGCCAGATGGGAGCAGAATGAGCTCAGAATGAGAAACCCAGCTCCAGGTACAAACCCCTTTCCTTCCACAGGAACCTCCCAAGAGCCTCTGAAGATGTGCAGTTATGCTGAATTACTCATCCTGTGAACATAAAGGCACTGCTCCACGCAGAAGATGGGAGAGGCAGAGAGGTAGCAGAGATGATGGAATTGCAGCCCTGCCTCAAGAGACAAATAGGAAGCACACACTGTATTTCTCTTCTTCTCCCAGTAGGTGTTACATTCCTTCCAATACTGGTGAGGCCTGAGCACCCTTGTCAGTCACCTATGGCTTTTTCCACTCCTGCAGGAAAAGCCCTCAACATGCTCTGTGAATACAGAGGCAGGAGTTGGGCTGTTCACAATCCCTCAGACCCATGGTAGAGATCCTGTGCCCAGAAGCCGAGGGCCATGATTTCGTTGTTTGCAGGGATGACAAGAGGCTCTTTGCTGCAGAAGGGACAGCATCACAAAAGCCAGAAGAGGGACAGTATTCAGCTGAGCAGGGGAGCAGAAGGAGCAACAAGGTAGGCACCAGCTTGGAACATGTTTAAAAGCAGATAGCTTGGGTAGCAGCATTGTAGTGCACAATCTTTCCCCACCTGCACGGGAAGTTTGCCTGCTTTAAGCTAAATTTTTTTATAGCTAACAGGCTGTGGACTGTCATGCCATGTCATGACTCTGTACACCCAGAGAGTTATGTGAGCAGCAAGCCAGTCAGCCAGAGCTTGTACATCTGTATCCTCTGAGCCTCCCCCACCTGTACCATCTCCCCATGCCCTCTGCTGTGAAAGGCCTTGAAGGCAAGTGACACAGCTACAGAGGTGGAGACTCACTCCTGTCTTGCAAAGACATAAGGGATTCTCCCCAGCAAGGTCAGCCAGGTTATTATCAGAGCTAGCCAATATTCACATAAACATTCACTACTTGCTGCCCTGCAGGCACTACAAAGGGCAAAGTTTGTCCCTGTTGTCAAAAACAAAGACAGGAGCATCCAATCTGATTTTTGCAATCCGGAGCCCTAGTGACCCATCTAAGCCTGAGGCAAACAACACAGCAGGAAGAAGTTCTGGGAAAACCAGACTGTGTTTGTGGAGCCAGAACCCCAACTGAGATGTGCAAAACCCAGATATCTGCCAAGCAGTTGGCCCAGCATCTTTTAGTTACACATTTGATAATCGATGTGGTGAATGGTAAAGATATTTCCTTGAGCAAATTGTTGATTTGCCCTCCTCCCACTGGTAAACCATGGTTGAAAGACACTCACCACAGCAATTTGAGAGCCTCCACTTAACCCAGAGTTGCAGGACTGAGTGTTTCCAAAGAAGCACTGTCTTCCTCTCACACCTGAGCAGTGCTACAGTGAAAAGTTCAGTTCTCAGAGCCAGGGGGAGCTGCCTTATTGCTTGGCAGGGGCTTGCACAAACGTTATTCTCAGTCTGCACAGGTTTTCAGGCTCTCAGGCTTTGTTTTGAATTCTGTATTCAGGACAAGCCTAAAACTTCAGAGAAACCACAATCAAATGCGGTGGATTGATCTGCTCTTGCATCAGAGTTGCACTCAAATGATAGTTTCTTATAAAGAAAGGTGCTTTGATGCAGTCCATCCAGCATGGTGGGAACTTGGTTAAAATGCTGATCTGCAGACAGAGTTAAGACTGAACTGTATTTTAATCTGCCATTTTCCAGATGTCACTAAATGTGATAAAAATCCCTCAAACTATGGATCTAATGTATCAAACCCACAGCTTGCCTGCAAAGGAGTCAGTGGAAATTGTACGTGCTCAGCACATCTGGAGGAAGACAGACAGGCATGTAAGTCTCTAAACAGTCTCCAATACATTGAAGTGTCTAGCTATTTTCCTTCCACAGAGGAACCATCACACTGGAAATGTTGCCCCAGAAACATATGCCTTGATGGCATAACAAGCCCTTACAATAAACTATGGGCAAATTTGACTTTGTTACAAAACCTAATGTGGGCAGAGTTTTGCTTTGTTCTGAATACTGCTTATTTCACTCTTCAAGCCCTCAACCAATTGAGAGAAACTGGCAAAGGGCTCCATTTATTGCTGCACACAGAACTGTGCTCAGGAAGGACACGATGCAATGACAATGAATGAAGAAAGCACTTTGTAATTATTCAAATATGTCCTCTTACATGGTAATTTCAGCTAAGAGGAGGTGGGGGTCCCGGCTTTTATTTGCACAAAGGTATAGTGAAAAGGACCACCAGAGAAGATGAGTGTCATGCCCAGAGCTTGAAGCCTGGAGGAGAAGGTCTTTTTGGGTTGTTGCTAAACAGCGTGATACTAGAGCATTACACTAGCGTATCTGATGCTCTGAAACACATGGTCAGTTTTTTTAGAGGTGCTGGATATCCAGAGCACTCCAAAACCTCTCTGAGGGCCACAGCTGCAGGATGAAGTACCCTTACCGAAGGGCCACAAGATGAGACCGTGGGTGACCTGCAGCTGAAGCAGCTTATTGCTACCTGGGTCAGCATACATGCCCAACCTTCTCCTTTGCTACAGCCTTCCCTGAGCAAGGTTTGGGCAGTCCCTTTATTAGCATGGCCACTCAGCTCAACATCCCTGCTTAACCCTACAGCACCCAGAGAGAAATCCAACAGATTTCACACTTCAGGACAAGTCTGTATAAGTTTGCCCAGGCAGACCAGTAAAGATTATGAGAACCTGACTTACCTGGCAGCACAGGAGCCTGCTGCTTGCAGCTGGTGGTGGTGTGGCTCCAGCATCTCCAGAGGAGAGGGTTGGAGGATAGGGAACAACTACACCATCCCATGGGGAAAATACCTTGTGGGACTAAATCCAAAACTGGAGGAAGGTAGTCTGAACCCACCTTTGCTTTAAGCAGCCTGGAAGTGAGCAAAAGGAAGGATGAGGTTTTGCTAATTGCTGAGGTGGCTGAAAGCAGAGAAACAAATTCTGGCAGGGAGAATTTACCTCTTGTGCATATGGCATCACTGGACTTTTCAGAGGGGAAATGTTTGGTTGGGTGCATCAGTCTGAGGTTTAATCCAGGGATAAACAAACATCTCCTGTAAAGCTGAGTGCTCTTTAGTGTCCTCTCTGCTTCCCCAGAGCCCAGGTTTTCACTTTGCACACCCCAGAAGGAGCAGGGGCATTATATAAACAATTACACATTCAACTGGCTTTGGAGACAGAGGATATTGAGGACCGTACACCACACATCCACTTTTCCCTGGGGACTGTGCATGCTTGAGTATCAGGTACACTCCCTGACTGAAGATGGCCACACACTAACACTGCGTGAAGGAAGGCTGCAGAAAGGGAAAACTTCAGAAGACAGTGAAGCTCCTTCTGCACCAAAGGATGTGGGGGGTACACACTGAGGCAGCAACAAGCCCAGAGAGACTGGAATGTAGTTCCCCAGAGTTTCATGGTGGGTCTCAAGCAGTGGCAAATCAGAGGGTAGGAATATATTTAACAACTGGCTCTGGTAGTTTTCTGGGCTTTCTCTGATGAGATGACAGATTTACTTGACACATGTCACACCTACGGCTTTGACTCCACAGCTAACGCCAAGTCAGCTTTAGTGAGGACTGTTGTTAGGTTTTTGACATTCAACTGTACAACATTCTGATTAAAAAAAAATCAACAGTATATAATATCAATAAACCACACATTGACCGGATTAAGAGCTGTCTGACAGAGCTCAACAAGGAATTATCAGTAGTGAATCATCTTCAGATGGGAGTGTTTCTAGCAGGGTTCTTCGCAGAGCTGCTTGAGGCCTGACACTTCCCAGCATTTTCATCACTGGGAAGCAAATGCAAATCTCAGTGCTGTTATAGTGCATAAATGACAAAGAGATTCAAAGTGATGAATAAGGAGGAGCATAGGGCAACCATGCAAAGCAATCTCTACATATCAGTGAGCAAAGCTTACTTAACCACCAGTTTACTGTAAACAGGTGTTCCTGTAATAAGCAGTTCCAGGCAGATTCCTAGGGTGCCATGGCTGGAAAGCAGAAGCTTGCAAAGGGTTTTGGAGATCATGACAGAATATGAACTAACAGCATAGAGCTGTGGCAAGAGGATGGTGTGTGCTCTGGGAATAATGAGTGAGCAAGTGAGATACACCTTTGATGCACGTTAGCAAGATGAATCCCAGTGTGGTGAAAACACTGAAAATATTGCTGGAAGAGGCAAATATAGAAAGGAGCCAAAGAATCTCAGTGCTCCAGGGGAAAAAAACCAAAGCTTTCCAGCAAACACAAAGCAGTTAAATTATTTCATTTATCAAAAAGAAAACTGAGTATTGACCTTAGAAGAAAGAAATACCAGGATGAGTTGTCAGTGAGGAGGAGGACGGTGAACAAAAGAGGAAGAATGCAAAGGTTGAGATGAGAACTTGGGTCATGGACATTTCCAGTGAAAGGCTGATGTGCTTAGCTAGGCAAAGGGGACAGCCAGATGAGCTCCAGACCAAAATTCAGAGGGAGGTTTCAGAATGAAACAAGAGGCTGATAGCCTCTTTCTAAAGGATCTAGCAAGCAAAAGAGGAGGAAGAGGTATGGTACTACAAGACTGAGGAACAACATGGGATGGATACAGACATATGCACACAAGCACTAAAGTTTTGCATACCCCATGTGAAGGGAAGACCAGATGGAAGACAAAAGTAAATAAAAATCAGACACAAGGTGGGTTTTACAACAGGTAAGTCATGGTCTGTACAGATGATACTCTTTGGTGAAATACTTCCCTAGACAAAGGCGTGGCAGTAGTTCTCATCTATCTGGACTTCACGGAAAATATCTGCTAGTGGAAAACTGGCAGTTAAGCCAGTAAAGCTGAAGATTGGTGTGAGCACTGAAGATGAGTAGCAACATGACTAGAGAGGAGCTGGTAGCAGGCAGCATTGAAAGGAGGACAGGATGAAACTCCTTTCCATCTGACTGGTTTTCTTGTTTCAGGCTTCTAAACAACCTTAGCACAGAAAACCCGGGGATATGCTAATGCAATATTTTGGTGACAAAGGGGAGATCATTGCCCACAGGGTGGAATACTAAAATATAAAGGAAGGAATAGGTCACTATGAGAAGCCAGGCAACTGAAAACAAATAATAGACAACAGCCCAGAAACTAGAGTCTGACAGCCAGGAACAAATAGCTTGAATTCCTCTCACTCATTAGAAGAATAGCAACTGAAACTGGAGGGGGAGAAATTAAAAGGCTTGGGTTCATCATCCCCACTGTGGTTTCCTACCTAACCTAGTGCTGGGCTGGATGGGACTGCCTGACAATCACAGGTATAACATTGGTTTAGCCTTGCTATTCGGGGAGTGAGGCCATATCCCTCCCCTTCTGTATGCTGCCCAGTAGTCTCCCTAACAAATCAATTTCTCCTTACGGGCTGTTCTTTTGAGATCATGCTTACAGCACCTGGGTTCACATCATATAGTGAGTTGATTTTCACTGCAGCCCTGTAAAATAGAGCAGGGGGAGAGAGGGGTGAGACTAAGACACAGATATCTTTCTAGTTTTAGTATTACAAAATGCCCAAGTAATGAGTTTTGTTACCTAACACTCAGTATACTCAGACAGTTCCATATTCCTCCAAAGGAGACCCCAACATCTCACACCATCCAAAACATGAGGAGCACAGAGCACAGAAAGCGGAGGTGGCCAGTTTGGCATCGCTTCACAACTCCATGTGAGAAGTAGGTGCAGGGCTTACTGCAGGTCTTCCCTGGGGCTGCAGAAGCTTACATTTCTCAAACACAGCAAGACTTTTTATGAACATATCTTTCCTTGGTCTTGCTCTGAGAAATAACCAATTTTGCTGAAGCTTCTGCTTAAAAAAAAAAAACAACAAAAAAAAAAACCCTGGGGCAGACATTTGGCATGAAGATACTCAGCTGGAACACTCAGTGTCTGGCAATACTATGAGCAGCTGAGATGGAAGGCCTCGGTCAGCAGTGTGTGTCTCTGCTGTTCACAGGGGCACCCCTGTTATCCCAGAGGAGCAGCTCGTTGCCACAGGGGGTGTGTGGCCGCTGCAAGCCTGGAGGTTTGCTAGCCCTTTCATGCCCCTTGGCAGAGACCAGAGCTGTCAGAGCATCAGTGTTGCCTTCTGCCTGAATAATGGCATTTCCAGCAACACAGCTGCAAGGAGGCAGAGGTCTCTCATTGATCAGGAGGTAAGAGCTACTTACTCTATTAAGGCTGCTTATTGGAGGAGTTTGCTCAAGCAATCCCTGTCCAAGAACTAGCTCTCCGTAATGGACCTGTCCTACAGTGAGAAGCCTCCCACCAGGACCCTCTGGGCTCCAGATGCAGGTATTAGAATCTGAATTTCCAGAGCATTTAGAGTCATTCTGGCCAGTAATCACCTTTTTTACTCAGACAGCAGCACAAAGCAGTGCGGGAGAGCACGTTGCCCCAGCACACTGGGAATGAGGGTGCTGGTGCAGCTGTGGCAGCCCAGGGTGCAGTGCTTGTCCCCTGCATCTCCCTGCCTCCTGTGCAGACAGGAGCTGGAGGGGAGAGCCAGAACTTGTGCATGCCCGGGCCAGCCATTTGCTCAGCAGCCTGTGCTGCTGGGGCAGGAATGGCAGAGCCCTTCCATGGTGGTTTCCAGGGCAGGATGCTGCTTTTTTTAAATGATACCCATGTGGCTGGGTCATGTCTGATCTCTGCTTTGGGAGGAGTGTAGTCAATACTTAGAGACTGAGAGCTTCGCTCAGCCAACTGCTGTGTTTGGGGAAGCTCTTCCTCTACCCAGTAGAGATGGGAAAGCCAGGATGGCCAGAAACCCAGCTGGG